CCCCAAAACCCCAAAACCCCAAAACCCCTAGAAATAAAATAAAATGCAAATTAATGTATAAAATAATAACGAGTTTATTTTTTGAAAATGCCGACAATTTATTAAAACCTCATAAAAAACATTGCGAAACTTTTCATCCTGATTATTGAGTCAGATAAAAAAGTAAATTTAGATTTGGTAAAATAATTGCTAATATTTTGATAGTGTGAAATAAGGAAAGAAGTTTTATGTGAAATCCCTGAGTTTCAACCACTTTAGTTCTTCGATTTATTGAAGTCTATAGAGAATAAATCCTTTTTAAGTGGAAATGATTTATCTGATTTCCTTGTCAAAAATGCAATTTTGACATCAGCAGAGGAAATTTAGAAATTTCTCAAATTCTGCTATTCTAGATATCCGAATCGTCTATAGTACGGAGAATTTCTTCAAATCGTCTTGCCTAATAAAAAGCAAAAGCTAAGATAAAAGGTTTTGTAGCGCTAATCTAATAACAGTAAGGTTTATCATTTACAAATTAGCGATTAATATTGTTAGAAATCTACAATGACGATGAATCAGTATTTTCAGCTATCAAGTCCTCGAGAGAAAAACTAATTGCTAAGATGGAATTCGCAATGACTCAGGTACTTGAGTAAGAACTAAGTTTATTCAGAATGGTTGAGCTTATTCGAGAGAAGATATTTAAAAGAAGAGACATGGAAAGGGGGAAAGATGTAAATTACATCTAAGTCTTCAATTAAATCGATGCGAAAAATAAGAACTATGTCACTCGAAAAGATCTCATTAGATTCATTAACAAATTTGTAGAGTAAAATCAATATGGCACTGATGATATAGCGGTGCTATTTAGAAGGTTGAGTTTGGCTGAGGATTGTTAATAAATACCATATCTTGATTTTGTGAATATGCTTTTGCCCTCTGAGACCAGAGTTGACTAGAGTGTAATAAGTACATAGAATGAAGACGAATATAACTATTAAGAAGATAGAACATTTGATAGTCATAAGCAGGCGATTGACTTCTCTAGCAATGTTATCAAACCCAAAAAATCGTTGTATAAGAGTATGAGGTCAAACATCATTAATTAAGCTTATTATCAGTAATTACTTTCAACTAATGAATAATAGAGACGAGTCAAACTAAAGAAGAGGTTCACTTAAAGAAGTTTAAGTTAAATATAGGGAAGTAAACAATTCAAGCAGGAATTAGGAATCAAACTTAAAAAAATAAGGCTCAAAGCATGAGTTATCTACTAGAAAGAAGTCAAGCATGAAGCAAATAATTTAAAGTGGAGGGAAAGATTAATAGCAAATAACATTCACTAATATGTATAGATCTACCAAATACACTGATGATAATGACGAGAATCCCATATTCATGAAGCCAAATACTTCTAACTTGCAATCGTAAAGGAAGTCCACTCCAAATGTTATCAGTAGTAGATTAAAATACAGCCAGGCTAGATTGTAGAATTATTAAGTTGTTGAGAATCCTAGAGATAAGTCAAGATCATAATCAAAAGAAAAGAAATCCAAATACTATCAGCTAAGACAAGACAAAAGTGCTATGAATGAAGTTGATAAATCAACCAGGAAAATATCATTTATGGAAGGGAAAGCTACAAGGAATAATAATGACATATTCGGCTAATAGAAGTAGCAGTATAATCCTAACGAAACTCAGAAATCTAGCTTATATGTCAATACCATTGATTCTCCCGATTTGAAAAATAAAAAACTCATTAATAGAACCCAAATCGAGGAGTCTCATTCTCCATAACCAGTAAATTTGCTAACAAATTAAAGATAGTATACTTTAGCCCACCAATCAAATTCTAAAGTTCAGAAGAATTAGACATTTGATTAAAAGCACTACGATGTCTACCATAAGCTGAGAAGAGGTTACGTATCTCCCATGAAAGGCAGAGAAGAGGATGTCTTCGTTGACATACTCAAATAGTAGTTAAAGTTAGAGTGTGAATTAGAAGACTACAAAGAGGAACTTATCTTGTACTGCCACGAGTTTAACCCAGTGCTAGCTTTCAGGATTTTCGTGCCTAAAACTGAGAGAATCTCTAGAAATATAAACATATTCAATGTGATTGAGGCTTTCAAATCTATGGGTATCACTCTTAAGATGATTGAAGCAGAGTTGATGCTCAAGAGATTTGACTCAAACAGAGATGGGCACTTGACTTACACGGATATATGCGATGTATTCAGACCAAAGAACTTATCATTGGCTAGAGAATTTGATCAGAGGATGCCTTTTGATCACCAAGTTAGCAACTACCTAGCCCCAGACACCATGAAGTACATAGCAAAGCTCTTCAAGTCATATGTTTCGGTTGAGAGTAACATTGAAAAAATGAAGAGATAGCTGGCTAGGAGACCAAGCTTTGATATTGATGACGCCTTTTCAGTGCTAAATATAGATGGGTATAAGAAAGTCTCATTGGAGGATATGCAGCATATTTTGAAAGTGCACGGACTCATTGCATTCCAAAAGCAGGCTAATGCTCTGTTTACGAGATATGACAAGGATAAAGATGGATTGATTAACTTTGAAGATTTTTCATGTGAAATTACCCCAATCAAGAAGAAATGATTAAAATATTAATTTCATTAAGCAACTTATTAGATTTATTTATAATCAATTCTCATTAAATGATATGATCATGGGGTTTTGGGGTTTTGGGGTTTTGGGG